GGGAAAGAGGAAAGACAGAAGAAGAAGGGAAGAGGGGAAGGGAGCAAAGAAGGTAAAAGAAGGAAAGTTGGGAAGGAAGAAGAAAGGAGAAGAGGGAAGGAAAAAGAAGAAAAGGAAGGAAGGAAGTCCTGCCTTAGCATTTGGCCACCACAGATTGAGCTGGCCAAACCCACCCTAGCCCCCTCAGGTCAAACACAATCCTGATATGGCCCTCAATGAAATCTAGTTTGACCCTCCGGCCTTGTATCATCATATAACACTACTGAGGTTATTCCAAAGAAACTCTCTTATGCAGGTAAGTTCTCAACTTACAACCATTGGTTGAGCGACTGTTCAAAGCTACAACAGACTGAAAAAGAGTGACGTAGGAGCCCCAAATTTATGTTGTTGACTGAGACATTCATTCAGTGAGCTTTGTTCCATTTTACGACCTTTCTTGCCACTGTTGTTAAGTGAATCTGGCTTCCCCATTGACTTTGCTTTTGTCACACTTATATGACCATCCCCAGGGTCACGTGATCAAAATTCGGACGCAGAGCAACTGTCATGCCTTTACGACGTTCGCCGTGTCCTGAGCTCATGTGACCATTTTGGGACTTTCGGATGGGCCAAGTCAACGGGGAAGCCAGATTCGCTTAATAACTGCATGACTAACTTAACAACTGCAATGATTCGCTTAACAACTGTGGCCAGAAAGGACATCCAATGGGGCAAAGTTCACTTCATCAGGCTGCTTGTTAAATGGGGTACCATGTGACCACATTTGATTTTATAACCCCTTTTTGCAGGGGTCATAAGTTGAGAACTATCTGTACTGCAGACTGCCTGATGCACCTTTTAGATGAGAAAAGTCCTGTGACCAGGGGTGGGCTTCAAATAATTTAGCAACTGGTTCTCTACCCAGTTGCTGGGTGGGTGTGGCCATGGTGGGCGTGGTGTAGTCAGCATCCTGTACCACAGTGTGGGGGGGTCATTTTTGCCCTCCCCGGACTCCAGAGGCTGAAAATGGGCCTCCCGGAAGCTCCGAAAGGCCGGAAACTTCCGGATCCTCCAGGAGGCCCATTTTGCCCCTCCCTAGGCTCCAGAGGCTTTCCTTGAGCCTCTGGAAGGCCCATTTCCCACCGGCCCGGAGGCTCTCTGGAGGCTGGAAATGGGCCTCCTGGAAGCTCCGAAACGCCAGAAATGGGACTCCTATAAGTTCCAGAAGGCTGAAAACAGGCCCATTTCCGGCCTTCTGGAGCCTCCGGGAGGCCCATTTCCCCCCGCCCCGTAGGCTCTCTGGAGGCCACAAACGGGACTCTTTCCAGCCTTCCGGAGCCTCTGGGAGGCCCCTATTTCGCCCTCCCCGAGCCTCCGCATGGACCCTGGACCATTTTGGATCTGGGATCCAAAATGGAGCCTCCTGGGAGGGGCGTGGTGGGCATGGCCAGCCAGTCATCGCAACTACCGGTTCGGCGAACGAGATGTGAAATTAACATCCGGTTCGATCAAACCGATACGAACCGGTAGCCTCTCACCCCTGCCTGTGACCCATTTGGGTCTGGAATCCCACAGACGAGAGCTGGAAGCAATGGGATGTAATTTTTCTTTCCAGGGGATGGATCATTGTTGCTCCCTGGGGACCCAGTGGCCAGGTAACCTTCCGTCCTTCCCCCCCCCCTGCTTCTGGGCCGCTTGCTTACCTTTGACCCTGGACGCTGTAGGTGTGGGCGTCGCTGGAGCTGCTCTCCTGGCTGGAAGGGCTGCATTCGCTGGCCAGGCTATCCTCCAGCATCAACGGGATGATGTAGGGATTGGTGTTAAGGAGCAGGTTGAAGGGAAGGTTGGTCCGGCGAATGGGCGGAGGGCTTGGGATCGCAGGGAACAGCTCCTTCCGGAGGGATCCCAAGGAACTCTGGGAGGTGGGGGCCTTGGTCTGGATGGAGCCACCACAGCTCGTCTTGCTGGGAACCGAGGCGACTGCGAAGGGGGAAAAAAAAGAAGGGAGGGAGATGAAAGACAAACGGAAAGACCGAGAGTTCCCAGCAATTGTTGGCAGGTTGGAAGGAATACAGAAAGATATCTCGCACGGCAGCTCCCCAGATGCAAAACAGTCCGGTTACGGAAAACTTGTTTCTGAAGGATCGAGGAAAATACGAAGCGGCCCAAGTGTCAGAAGTCAACAGAGGACTCAGGGGGTCAACAGAAGCTCTCAAGCTTTCAACAAGAAGCTTTCAAGATCAAGAATGGCCCAAGACAAGTGGGCCTTTGGCTGGCTTTTCAGTTGCACCTCCATGACCCCTTCCCAATCTCTTTTGATGGGGGCATTATAGCCTCCATTGGAAATAGACCTCATCAATTTATTTATTTATTTCTATTGATCTTTTTTTTTCTCCCTTGTTATGTTTCTTCCTCCTATTCTTAGCTACCTCACGTATCCCTTTCAGTCTTTTATTTTGTTTTGGACACTAAATAATTGTACTCTTCAAGGTTGGGGACTCTGGAGGATTTGAAAGGAGCTCTGGTTTTTTTTCCCCTTCCTTCCTTCCTTCCTTCCTTCCTTCCTTCCTTCCTTCCTTCCTTCCTTCCTTCCTCCCTCCCTCCCTCCCTCCCTCCCTCCCTCCGTCTCTTTCATTCTTTTTTCTTTCTTTCCTTCTCTTTTTTCTTCTCCTTTCTTTTCCTTTCTCCTTCTCCTTTCCTTCCTCCTTTCCTCCTCCACTCCTTTACTTTCTTTTCCATTCCTTCTCTCCTTCCCTTCCCTTCCTCCTCCTCTCCTCTCCTATTCCTTCCTCCTCCTCCCCTTTATTTTCTTTTCCTTCCCTTCCCTTTCTCCTTCTTCTCCCCTTCCTCCTTTCCTCCTCCACTCCTTTCCTTCCCTTCCCTTCCTCCTTCTTCTCCCCTTCCCTTCCTCCTCTCCTTTCCTTCTTTGTATTATTTATATTTCACACTTCTTAAGACCCATTTCCCTTTGCAGCCTTTGGAAAGAAAGGCCGGCTCTTTAAGAATTTTTTACAATTTGGAATATATGGTACAAATGGTTGTATAAAAAGGAAGTAAAGATGTCTAGTGAAACTGATTAAACAAACAACAAGGGAAAATGTAAATAAGGATAAATGTATATATGGCTACGTGTGTATGTAAAGTAATATAATTAAATATTGTATTATAATTGTAATAATAACATAACAAAAAGTAAGGATTTAAGAAATAAGTTATAGGTTCACTTGTAACAAATGACTTTAATTGACACTAATAGAAATGTACACTACTATGAAAACGTTGCAAAAATGTGAGAACGTTTCTCTTTTTTTAAAATATATTCTTTTTTGTTTGAAACTTTCAATAAACATTATTTAAAAAAAGAATGAAAGGAATTTTTGCATATTTAAAGGCTATACATTGTTCCCTTTTTAGTGATATACTATATTTTCACATTGACTTTTATCCCCTGTAAACTTAAAACACTGTCCTCAAATAAGTACGATTAAATAAATTCAGCTAAGGGACAAAACGTAGATTAATCCAAAAAAGTCATGCCTCATCTTCAGCTGAAGGCAAAGGCATATTTGGAGAAACTCCAGCCCTAGAAGAAAGTTTTGAGATGCTCTGTATCTTTTCTTTAAATAGTGATTTTATTAAAGATTGTCATTACAACATCAAAAACTAATATAAACTGAAAGAGATAAAAGAATAAATGAAAGATTGGAAGTGGCCGGAAAAAAAAGTAAGAGAAATGGAAAGAAAAGCACACACACACACAATTTCCTAATTTCATCACAAATATAAACAATCTCAGTAGCTTATTACTTCTTAAATTACAGGAAATGACTTTTTCTTTTTCCCATATTTTTTATCTACAAACAAATCCCTAAAGACTTGTCATTTCAGTCCTGGTGCCCGCAAAAATCCATTGACGATGACTAGAAATCATCATATTTATTTTATTTAAAAGATTTATACAGACACTCATAACAAATCCTGGGCAGCTCTAATCAAAAATTAAAACAAATATATAAACCATATTAAAACTCTAACAACCCAACAATTTAAAAATGGAGCAAAAAAAACCAAACTGATGCCAAGTCAAACTTCTGATGTGTTGATGCCTCATCTTATCCCAGCACTGGAGGAAAAAAGTAAATGCTTTTAAGGAGTTGGACTTGAGTCAGATTAACAGTTGGAAGGGACCTTGTAGGTCATCTAGTCCAACCCCTCCCCCAAAGTAGGAGACCCTACGCCATTTCTGACTGATGGCAGGCCAGTCTCTTCTTGAAAGCCTCCAGTGATGAAGCTCCTACAACTTCCAAAGGCAACTTCTGTTCCATGGGTTGATTGTTCTCACTGTCAGAAAATTTCTCCTTATTTCCAGGTTGAATCTCTCCTTGACCAGTTATCAACCATTATTCCTTGTCTGGCCTTCAGGTGCTTTGGAGAATAGCTTGACCCCCTCCTCTCTGTGGCAGCCCCTCAAATATTGGAAGACCGCTATCATGTCTCCACTGGTCCTTCTCTTCACTGGACTAGCCAAGCCCATTTCCTGCAATCGTTCATCGTATGTTATAGTCTCCGGCTCCCTAATCATCCTGGTTGCTCTTCTCTGCACTCTTTCTAGAGCATTGACATTTTTTTTTATCGTGTGGTGACCAAAACTGGATTCAATATTCTAGGTGTGGTTTTACTAAGTCATAGCAACTGGACTTCTTTTCTTTTTTTGGTTTGAAACATTTCACTGCTTCCCTGTCCAAAAATGTAAACATTATGGTCCTTTTTCTTTTAAGGGAACATATAATGCCTGATTCTAGTCCTGTGGTGTTGCTTCTTCTGTCCTGGGCCATCCTCTTAGAGTAGAATAGAGCTGGAAGGAACCTTGAAGGTCTTCTAGTCCAGCCCCCTGCTCTGGCAGGAGACATTTCAGACAAGTGGCTGTCCAATCTCTTCTTAAAAGCCTCCAGTGATGGAGCCACCACAACTTCTGAAGGCAAAGCTGTTCCACTGGTTAATTGTCCTCCCTGTTAGGGAGCTTATCCTTAATTCCAGGTTGCTTCTCTCCTTAGTTAGTTTCCATCCGTGGTTTCTTATCTTGTCCTCTGGTGCTGTGGAGAATAATTTGACCCCCTCTTCTTTGTGGCAGCCCCTCAAATATTGGAATACTGCTATCAGGTCATCCCCTAATCCAAAGGTTTTCAAACTTGGCAAGTTAAAGACTTGTGAACTCCCAGAATTCCTGAGCTAACATGACTGGAGGAGAAAGTTGAAGTCCACAAGTCTAAAAGCTGTCAAGTTTTGAAGACCCCTGATCCTTCTTTTCTCCAGACTAGCCAAACCCAAATCCCGCAAAGGCTTCTTGGTTTCTCCAGTCTAGATTTCTGAACACTGTTCACTGCACTGGACTGCATACAATTACATTACTCTTCATACGTTTTGGTGCATGATTTTTAGGGCGGACAAGCCTTTGTCTCCGTGCATTGGTGGGTTTAAAGAACACCAGTTCATGGTGTTTTCCAAATACGGGTTCTTGGTGTTTTTCTGAGGCTGGCATTTTTCCTGCAATGGTTTCATTTCTTTCTTCTGTGACATTAGAGCCCTGGTCTCCAGGCCTGAACTGCAACTCAAAGGAGTTTTCTTTTTCTTTTTTAAATTATCACTTTGAATCTTGCATAATGGACAGGGAGGTCTCATCTTTGAGTGCATTTGCAGGGATGGTTAATTTTAATCTGATGATCAAGTGGTGGAGCTCTTGCCTCGCAATCAGGAGGCTGTGAGTTCGATCCTAGGTAGAGGCAGGTATTTCTCTCTCTGGGCACAATGAGAATATAACTCCTGAACAAAACTCCGCATTGGTGATAAGAAGGGCATCCAGCCAGTACACTCAGCTCCATTCAACTGCCCAGACTCCACCCCGCAAGGGATTATGGGGTCATTAAAAGGACATGATGATCAAGATGGGATGAAGAATGGACTATAACATGAGTTTACCATAACAAGCTAAAGCCTCCTTAGATAAGTAGGGTTTCTTTGGGCTTTTTTGGAACCTCTTCCTTTTGTTTCTTAATCTATTTTTCCCCCTTTCAGGCAAGGAAACTACTTAAAAAAAAGAGGTGAGTGGCAGCATACATTGCTTTTTTTTAATATAAGCCGAGTCTATAATGAGAAGAAAGAATGGTTGATGACTAACAGCTCCCACCTGGTTCTTTTTTTTAGTGGTCAAATGCAAATTGCATTGCCCAACTTGAGACCTTCTCAAGTTGAAATTCTCAAAGAGAATTTCTCTTTTTGCAACAGGTGTTCCCAACTCTTTTGGTCCATCAGGAACAAGCACAAAATGGCGTCCAGGAAGTCTGTGGTTTACTAACTGGTCGGGGGCCTTCTCCTATCTGTCTAAACCAGGGGGGTCAAACTAAAGGCCCGTGGGGGGGGCACCCTGGAAACAGGAAACGACTGGCCCGCAGAATCTCTGCCAGCAAAAATGAAGCTTGGGAGGGCCGCATGTGGCATTCCTGAGCTCAGTTTTCACAGGCAGAGGGTTGCCGGAGGCTGTCGCAGTGGAAAATGGAGCTTGGGAGCCCGTTTTCACTGGCAGAGTGCTCGAGCCACCACCGGTGCCCCCCCCAAAATGAGTGACATCGAGCTGACCATGCCCACCCTGGACCCTCGAGGTCAAACACAACTCTGATGTGGCCCTCTATGAAATCAGGTTTGACACCCCTGGTCTAAACCAGGGGTCGCCAACCTTTTGGACCTCAGGGACCACCAAACTCATCATTTTAAATCCTGCGGACCAGAGACTCTGGGAAAATCCCCCAAAAAGTCTACAGGAAAATTCCCCACCCTGTTTTCCTACCGATCGATCATTCTTTATTTGGGATTGCAGGATATCATTTCCAGCTCCGTTCTCAGAGGGAAAGAGAAAGAGAGACTTCTGGCTTCATGCAAGGAAAACAGCAGAAGCAGCAGAAGTCTTTCTTCCTCTCCCCCAAACTCCACCAGAAATGAGTCTTTGTGAGACTTGACATGCCAGTGCAGCCTCTTGGAGCAGGATGCCTTGCAGGATCCCAAAGACTCATTTCTGGCAGAGTTTGGAATAGAGAAAGAAAGATTTTTGCTGCTTTCCTTGCGTGTAGCCAAAAGCAGAAGAAGAAAGAAGTGGAAAGAAGCATTGTTTTGGGGGCGACATTTCTCTGCAGAGCACTAAAATTTTCTCGCAGACCACCAGTGGTCCCCAGCCCACTGGTTGGCGACCACTGTTCTAAACCAAGGATGTGTTCTGACCAAGGCTTCCTGAGGCCATAATTAAGCACACGCTTATTCCAAACAACTCTCTTTTTATTTCAATGGCTGGGAATTATGTTCATTCCCAGCCCATAATGAGTCCCAAACAGTCTCTCGAGATAAGCACCCACCTTTATTTCCTTTGAGTTGCTGCCAAGAACTAAAGTGCCAAATTAACTGTAAAAAGTCAAACGGAGTACAAAGTCCACACAGAACTTCAAGATTTAATCCGAATAGAGCAAACAAAGTTGCTTCCTGTAAAGGTTCCTGTCCCTTTGCTCCTCCTTTATGCCTTATGGAGGGCCAATCACTTCCCAGCCTTAATCCCGAGTTGCCCCTTTTGTCTCAACTGTTCTTGCCTTCTGGCAGCTCTGTGCACATGCACACTGGGAACAGGCTCCCCTTGTTCCTCTGCCTTGCTGCTGTCAGATTCTGGAGGCTCTGGAGTCAGCACATAACTCCCAGATGGTCCTGGCCCCATCTCTGCATCGGATGCAGGACCCTCATCCAAGTCCTCCCCAGACTGGCCCATGTTCCTCCCCACTGTCCAATTCTGCTGCCGTCTCCATAGGTTCCAGCAGACCACAACAGGATGTCTCCCATTTCAGAACAGTCAAAGTAAGCTATGGTTTTCAACTTCTTATCTCTCGTTTCTATTTTGCAAGAAAACTCGAGAGACTCACAAGGGAAAACCTGCTGAAAAAAATGTTGCCCACCTGCCTGCCTTTTTTCCGTTTATTTACTTGTAAATTAAAGGCGAGGCAGGAATCCTGGCCATCCTTAAGCAAGAAGAGACCATTGTCTTATGGTGCCATCTCATGGCTCAGTATATTATTGCTGCAAGAATTGAGAGTCCTGATTTTCTCTTGACTTGGAGAAGTTGAAACACCTAATCTATACCAGTGGTTGCCAACCAGCGGGCCAGGAACCACTGGTGGCCCGTGAGAAAATTTTGGTGGTCCACAGAGAAATGTCACCCCCAAAGCAATGCTTCTTTCCACTTCTTTCTTCTTCTGCTTTTGGCTGCATGCAAGGAAAGCAGCAAAAGTCTTTCTTCCTCTCTCCCAAACTCTGCCAGAAATGAGTCTTTGGGACCCTGCAACTCATCCTGCTCCAAGAAGCTGTGCCGGCGTGACAAGTCTCACAAAGACTCATTTCTGGTGGAGTTTGGGGGAGAGAAAGAAAGCCTTCTGCTGCTTCTGCTGCTTTCCTTGCATGAAGCCAAAAGTCTCTCTTTTTCTTTCCCCGAGAACGGAGCTGGAGACGGTGTCCTGTGATCCCAAATAAAGAATGATCGATCGGTAGGAAAACAGGGAGGGGAATTTTCCTGCAGACTTTTTGGGGGATCTTCCCAGGGTCTCTGGTCTGCAGGATTTAAAATTATGAGTTTGGGGGACCCTGAGGTCCAAAAGGTTGGCGACCCCTGATCTTTACAATGGATGAAGACATTTTCTACCTCCAGAGGGAGGGAGGTCTCCCACTGAAACAGGATTAGAATAATTGGCAACTACCTTTGGTAATAAGTCTTTTCATCTAAAGAACAGTGTTGAAGACCTGAGCAATTTCAACAATAAACCAGATCTGACATGGACTTAGCAAGTTGTTATATTTATTCTTCCACTGAATCCATGCTCCAGTGATCTATTTCCAAAAAAAAATAATTGATGTGAGGATAGATAATTCTTTTATGGACATGCCAAAGGTGTTCTGTAGGTTCACCTTAAATCAAGAGTCCCCAAACTTGGACAACTTTTAAGAATTGTGGGCTTCAACAGCCAAAATTCCTCTGCCAGACAGCCATCCATCCTAGCTGGGGGGATTCTGGGAGTTGAAGTACACAAGTCTTAAAAGTTTTGAAGCTGGAGACCTTTGTCTTAAATGATGAATATGCTACACATTTCATACCACGTAAATTTCAACTTCAATATGTGTGTGAAGTGGTTTTACAACGAAGAAGGAGGAGAAAATAAACAGCTTTGTGGAGAAAGAAGAATGTGACCGGCTCACTGTTAAGGTGTAACAGATCTCACCTGAGGAACCCGACAATGCGATGGATGATCCTGAATAGTTCATAGTTGCAGCACCCAGTGTGACTGTGTTAGGTTGATTGTTTGCAGTGTCGGACAGCTGAGTCACAGCCAACATAGTTGTGCTGTAAGAAAAGGAAAACATTATGACTAGAAAGCAACGGCATAAGTATTTTTTTCTGTTGCTTGATACATTGGACTTTCTTGTCTGCTGTCTTCTTGTCAAGGGATAAGAAGATAATTTACTATAGCATTTTTTTGTTCCAAATGAGTGGTGCAGTATGCCTAGAGGTGGAGCTCTCGCTCCAGGAGGAGGCTGTGAGTTCGATCCTAGGTAGAGGCAGATAGAGAATATATCTCCTGGAAAAAAAAACTCCACATTGGTGACAGGAAGGGCATCTGGCCAGTAAACGCTCAGCTCCATTCAGTTGCCCAGATCACCCAGCAAGGGGATTATGGAGTCATGAAAAGAGGATGCTTTGATTTGTTCCAAACCAGAATTAAGTGAGTTGGTCATTCTGGAAGGTTTAAATGAATCCCCCTTGTGGTTCCCTTTAAAATCCAATTTAAAAATGTTTGTCCTGGTGATATTAACAGAACCACCTCAGAACAGACTATAGGTTTCAGAAACATGCCATCAGCCAGAGTTAGTTACTGATGACGTTACCTAGTTTGGTAATGAAAGGTCTGCAAGAAAACTACCAAGCACCAAGAATCCCAGAGTTAGTTACTGTGAGATTTACACTCCAGATTTGTAGCATGGATTATGCTCAAAGGGATTAATAAAACTTAAGCAGAATTGGGGCAATGGGATAAGGAGGCAATATAAAGACAGTAAAGACAGCAAAAGAGCTTCTTCAAAATAATGAACTGCTGGGCAGCTCTAGGACTAATAAAGAACAATATTTGTAGCTCAGGATTGAAATGAGGGACCCTTGGGGTAGTCTGAGCTTGGTGGCTTTCTTGCAAACGTTTCATAACCCAACTACATAACGTTATCAGTGCTGCTGTCTAGCACTGGTGGCGTTACCTAGTTTGGATAATGAAATGTCTGCAAGTAAACTATCAAGCACCAAGAACAGAGGTGGGATTCAGCTGGTTCTGACCAGTTCTGGAGAACGGTAGCGGAAATTTTGAGTAGTTTGGAGAACCGGCAATTACTAACTCTGACTGGCCCCGCCCCCATCTATTCTCCACCTCCCGAGTCTCCTTCCTCTAGTTATTAATCTGCACTTTTAAAAAATGTTATGATAGATGGATGGATGGATGGATGGATAGATACAGAGGTGGTATTCAGCCAGTTCTGGAGAATCGGTAGAGGAAATTTTGAGTAGTTCAGAGAACCAGCAAATCCCACCTCTGACTGGCCCCACCAACCCCACCTATTCTCTGCCTCCCATTGAGTCCCAGCTGATCAGCTAGGTCTTCTTTGGTTGCCCTGCACAGGAGAACGGAGCTGGAAAGCAGGTTAGGGGAGGGAAAGGGGATTTTGCAGTAATCTTCCCCCAGGAGTTGGGAGGGAATGGAGATTTTGCAATATCCTTCCCCTGCCATGCCCACCAAGCCACACCAAGCCCACCAAGCCACGCCCACAGAACCGGTAGTAAAAAAAAATTGAATCCCACCCCTGACCAAGAACCCCCAAGTTAGTTACTATGAGATTCGCACTCCAGCTTTGCAGCACAGGTTATGCTCACAGTGATTAATAAAGCAGAATTGGGCCAGTGGGATAAGGATATTGCCAATAAAAAGGGATACTGCCAATATAAAGATACTAAAGATAGCAAAAGGGTTTCTTCACCACTTTATCAAAATAATGAAGTGCTGGGCAGCTCTCGGATTAATAAATGAGAATATTTGAAGCTCAGGGTTGAAATGAGGAGTCCTTGGGGCTCTCCGAGCTTGGCTGTTTTCCTGCAGACGTTTCATCACCCAACTAGGTAACATCATCAGTACTTGTGACTAATGCTGGACTAGCACTGGTGATGTTACCTAGTTTGGATAAGGAAACGTCTGCAAGAAAGAAAGAAAAACCAAGTTCAGAAAGCATGGAGGATCCCTTCAGCTCTTTAGGTCTTCTAAGAAAGCGCCAACAGCTGTCCTGAAGAGAAAGAGGCAGGGTCTCCTCACCCTTGTGCCATTCTCTGAGGATCTACTGGCAATGCAGGGGCTGCGAGAGGGCATTTCTTAGTGTTTTTCACCATCAGTTTTTCCATTTTTCTCCACTTTGCTCGGCGATTCTGGAACCAGACCTAAGGGGGGAAAAAAAGGAAAGTCTTTAGTCAAAGAAACTTTTTGGACAGACAGGAGGATCCCTTAATCCAACCTTCTATGTTGGCTGGGAATTTGCACAGGTTGTCAACAGGTTGTCAGCTTCCACTTTGAATTTCAGTAAAAGAAAAACTTTGCTCAAATCTATGGAGTCTTGAGTATTTCTTTCTTGGATTTTGAATGGAGCACAGACTGACACAGGTGGTCCTCAACTTACAACAATTCATTTAGTGACCATTCAAAGTTACACTGGCACTGAAAAATGTGACTTATGACACGGCTGTTAAGTGAATCTGGCTTCCCCAATTTGACTTTGCTTGGGAGAAGGTTGCAAAAGGGGATCAGACGACCGTGGGATAGTACAACCGTCATAAATATGAGCCTGGTTGCCAAGCATCTGGATTTTGATCATGTGACTCAGTGGTGAGATTCAGATTTTTTTTACTACCGGTTCTGTGGGTGTGGCTTGGTGGGCGTGGCAGGGGAAAGATATTGTAAAATCTCCAGTCAGAGGTGGAATTTGCCGGTTCTCCCAACTACTCAAAATTTCTGCTACCAGTTCTCCAGAACTGGTCAGAACCTGCTGAATACCACCTGTGACGTGACTGTAGGGAAACCTCAATGGTTGTAAGTGGGGGAACAAAAGGGTCATAATGCACTTTTTCCGTGCCGTTGCAACTTTGAACGGTCCGTAAATGAATCGTTGTTAAGTTGTGCACTACCTCCTCTAACTTTGGGTATCTCTAAGAACGTGAGACAAGATCCTTGCTTCATGAATAGCAATAGCACTTAGACTTAAATACCACTTCACAGTGCTTTTACAGCCCTCTCTAAGCAGTTTACAGAATCAGCACATTGCCCCCAACAATCTGGGCCCTCATTTTACTAACTTCAGAAGGATGGAAGGCTGAATCAACCTTGAGCCTGGTGGGATTTGAACAGCCGATAGTCAGCAGAAGTGGCCTGCAGTACAGCACTCTAACCACTGCACCACAGGCTCTTAATTAATGAATTAAGTTAATTAATGATTAACTCTGGATTGTTATCCAGAAATATTGGATGCGACATTTCTGGATGACAATGTTTTATCTTTCTGCTGTTCAGCAGGACTCAACTCACCATAATGCGCTGGGGTGTCACACCAACTGAAGCCGCAATTTCTCGGCGCTTTTCGTTGTCAGGATAATGGTCATCTTGGAATGTTTTCTCCAGTTCCTGTAGTTGTTCTGGAAATGAGGTCAATCAATTAGCAACATAACGTGAGAAAGCAACCAGGAAGAGAAACATTAGGGAATGACCCTTGAGCTTCAAAAGGATGTGTGTTAATATTCATTGACTTTAACATACACACACACACATACACTTCACCATGGCTCAAGCACCTCACAATGAGGAATAGCTGAAGCTGGCAAGAGAGCAGCTCTTGGAAAGATAATCTTGATAAAGGAATAATGCAAGAGTTAAGATGCTGGATTTGTCAGTGGAAAGCCAGCAGCTCAGGTTTGAGACCCAAACGTCACATGAGCAGGGTGAGCTCCCATCCTCACCTCAATTCCTGCCAACCTCATAGTTCGAAAGCATGAAAATGTGAGTAGATAAATAGGTACCACTTCAGTGGGAAGTTAACAGCGCTCTGTGAGGTCATGTTGGCCTCATGACCACAGAAATGTCTTCGCGCAGCGCTGACACAATGGCCTTGTGTGGAGGTGAGCACCGCCCTTGTAGCTGGCAACGACTTATGGAGTAAAATCCGGAGGGAGTCCTTTTTATTAAAAGAATTATTAAGTGAAAGTAAACAACTCCTGGGAAAGAGGAAGGTGTGAGGGAAAAAAAAGAAACCACCTAAGGAATTCTGGGAGTTGAAGTCCACAAGTCTTAAAGTTGCCAAGTTTGGAGACTCCTGCCTAAAACAATAAAGTAACGTTTCTAAAATGCTAGAGGGGCCTGTTTCCTGACCTGCCTACTTTAAAGACCTGAGAGAAGAGAACTTTCCAGATTCTTTAAATAGAACCATTTTACTGGCCACCTGGGTGGAGATTTGGGTGGCCCGGAGTGATTGCTGGTTTCTCCAAGCTACAAGGTCAAGGCTGGGCTGGGAAGAAATCATTTTGCAGAGGAATCTGGGTAATGAATCAGTTTTACAACCAAAATAAATTCAAGCAGTTTGACAGGGTTGCTAATGGGATTGAGGAGACAAACACTACTTCCAATTCCAAGCTCTCATCTGCTCTCCAAACTCCGTGTGCACATCTGGAAATTAGAAGAAACCACAAAATGCCCCAGGAAACCGGGGACAGTGGCTTTGTTCCAAGATGTTCTGGTTAAATGGGAGACTAAAGGTCGCCCTCAACTTACAACAGTTCATTTAGTGACCAAAGTTAAAACAGCACTGGGAATAAAAGTGACTTATGACCGTTTTCCACACTTACGACCATTGCATGGTCACGTGATCAAAATTCACACGCTTGGCAACTGACTCGTATTTACAACCGTTGCTGCATCCTAGAGTCACGGGTGATCCCCTTTTTGCGACCTTCTGGCAAAGCAAGAGTCGATGGGGAAGCCAGGTTGACTTTGCAGCTTTGTTACTAATTTACCAACGGCAGGGATTCATTTAATAACGGTGGCAAGAAAAGTCATAAAACAGAGCAAAATGCAGCAAAGCAAGTGTCTCCCTTGGCAACAGAAATTTTGGGGCTCCACTGCGGTTGTAAGTCGAGGACCTGCCTGCCAAATCACCAAATTATACAATTCAGTCAGTGGTGGGATTCAAAAAATTTTACTACCGGTTCTGTGAGCATGGCTTGGTGGGTATGGCGTGGCATAGTGTGGCTTGGCTTGGTGGGCGTGGCAGGGGAAGGCTACTGCAAAATCCCCATTCCCTCCCCACCCCACTAACCTGCTTTCCAGCTCCGTTCTCCTGTGCAGGGCAACCAAAGAAGACCCAGCCAATCAGCTGGGACTCAATGGGAGGCAGAAAATAGATGGGGGCAGAGCCAGCCAGAGATTGGATTTGCCGGTTCTCTGAACTACTCAAAATTTCCACTACCGGTTCTCTAGAACCGGTCAGAACCAGCTGAATCCCACCTCTGAAACCAGTCATGATTAATGCCTCGTAACTTACTTTCGTTGTAGAAAGTTCGTGTTTTCTTTTGAGCAGGTGGAGCGGATTCTTTGGAGACTTTTAGCGAACTGGAACCTCGTTTCTTAATTCCATCTACGTTGCCTTTGGACAGCAGAACCGAATAGAACCTGAAAGACGGCTGGCCCACGTTATTGGCTGTCGCACCTCTGGCCGACCTGCGTGTGAGATGGCTCAAGTTGAGATTCTGGTTGATGTCTGGATTTTGTTCGTTGTCCAGCCCGACACAAGGAGCACCTCCCCTTTCAAGGGCCCTCTTGGCTTTCTTTTTGGCGATCTCCTTTTTCGTCACGTCCAAGCTGCCCAAGTCTACTTTCTCTTCTGATTTTGAAGGAAGGACAAGTTCTTGGTTGGGTTCACTTTCAAAAAATGGAGGGTCAACGTTCATGTCACCATAGCAGGCTGTTGGGTTGTGGGGTTGGTAGAAAATAAGCGAGTGAGCATCTAAAGATGTCAGCTGTGTGAGATGAGATTCTGGCCTGGGGTCTAGATAGTATTCTCCATCAACTTCCTCTTCCTCCTTGGAAACTTCAGGGTTCCCTTCTTTTGTCAGGATCTTTCCAGATGGATCGCCAAGGATCACAATATGATCCATGGAGCAAAGACTGCTCTGAGCACCAACCTCATTCATCAGGTTTTCATTTGGAACCAACTGTTCTGTGCACAGAAGGGATTCTCTTGCTCTGTTCTCTTCTGCCTCCTCAAATTCGGCCTTGTACACTAACAATAACAAAGAAAGGTGCCCACGTTATCATTAATACCAGAAAAACGAAACCCGCACCAACGTGCCTACCGTCCCTGTCCTATTGTTTCTCTTATTCTTTTATTTTTCTTATATGTAACCATTTCATGTATTCACAACTATGTATACATTTATACTTATTATCTTGTAAACAATTGGCAAATCAAATAAATAAATAAATAAATAAAATAAATAAAAAAGTTTTCGATTTTAAAATTCTAAAAGTGGAAAGTGGTAGCAGAAGAAGACAGAAGGCCAAGTGAATTAACCCAGTTGCATGGACTGAGATTGGGAGTTTGACTGGGCAGTGCGATTTATGGATTTCCACCACATGTCTCCCTCCCTGCTGTGAAAGGTCAAAATAATCTCAAGTGATTATATTCAAGGCATGTTGCAATTTGTCCTGAGATGCAGCCAAAATCACTTGTGCACTTTACATTCAAGCCATTTCCTTCTCAGAAATCCAAGCTCTGAGTGAAATATTCAATGGTGAAATTGCAAAAAGCATAATCTTTAAAAAAAAACCTAACAAACAAACTTTAGAGTCAGAACAGAAATTGAATAGCAATAGCACTTAGACTTATATACCGTCCCATAGTGGTTTACAGCACTCTCTGGGAAGTTTACAATGTCAGCATATTGCTCCCAGCAATCTGGGTCCTCATTTTACCAATCTCAGAAGGATGGAAGGCCGAGTCAACCTTGAGC